TGACAAGAACTTCAGAAAGAACTTCAACTTCAACAAAAAAGAACTTCAAAAAGTGTATGTGGATTTCTCCTTTGTGAAGGTACTTAGAGGGTTGTGTCCTTCTCCTTCTCCTGGGTCAATCTTTTTGGCAAGGAGCGGGAGCGCACCATTGAGGAAAGCACATGGGCCCAGTAGCTCCTCCCCACGATCAGTACGACATTGGTCTGGGCGTAACCCCACTAAATCTGCTAGAGGAAGGCTGTATAATGCTGTATTCGCAATACCTCCAACATGAACTCAATTTCCCTGAAAACGACCACTTTTTAGCTAACGTTTGGCCCGACAAACACACTCATGTTCCATGGATAGTGGTGAATGGCGTTTCACTGGCAAACGGTCAAATGATGATGGATCACCTACCGTATCTCATTTGTGATTGGTAAGATCAACGATACTTAAGCTCTAGTTTACTACTACAGTGCGTCGTTTTCGCTGATGACGTTGGGGCAAGTCAGGGGGCTGGATTTTGCGCGGAGCCTGCCTGCTTTCCACTAATGGCTGTCGCCTGACCGCTTCAACATGGTAGAGCCGCGCCAAACCCATTCCCCTTGACACGCTCAGCGTCTGCAGAGAAAACGACTGTGCAGACAACGATTTTTTTACAACTTACAACATCAACTTTTTTTACAAAGAATGTGTCGCGATCCTGAAGCTTTCGAAGCATTTTCCTTCAGGTACGTTGGCGATAAGAGGATCCCATTCTGCCAGTACGAAGAGAAAGCGGAAGCTGAAACGAGCCAATTGGAAATTTTGAGCGTCGTATTCGGGTGTTTTTCTGCAATAAATTTTTGTGGCTCGATGTCTGTGACTATTCAAAATTATGGGAGGTTGGAACAAAATAGTGAAAACGATGGCAGATTGCGTCAACATTGCAGCTACAGACTGCCGAGTGGTCTCCCTCTAGCTTTCGAAGCTTTTTTCATTTGTGTTATCTGTCGACCAGTACTGAGCCCATACAAAGAAGTAACCAACGGTCTCGTATAGTTTCTCACCCACGAGCGATCATGCAGATATCGTTGCAATCAGTCGCGGTGTCAAGAGGCACACCTCGGTGTTTATGACCTTTAGCTGGTTTGTTCCTTAATATTTCACTGACCGATCACTATTGGTAGAACTGCGTTCTGTGGCAGCGCCCACCTGCGATCACCACCGACCATCAGAGTGTTCGAGCGTCCGTCAGCGACTAGGAAAGTATAGATATCGATCTAGCGAAGGCAGCGTCTGCCAGCGTTAACCAGCGACCAGCAGCGTTTAGGGCTAGGGAAGTATAGGTATCGATCTAGCGTCTGCCAGCGTCTACCAGCGACCAGCAGCAGACTGGTAGAGAGTATGGGGCGATAGGAGGGTACCAGCTGTCTGCTACCCTCCTATCGCGCCATACTCTCTACCAGCAGTCTGCTACCCTCCTATCTCCCCATACTCTACCAGCTGTCTGCTACCCTCCTATCGCGCCATACTCTCCTCTTCCAGGCGCTGCTAGTAGCTGGTGGACGTTGGCAGACGCTAGATCGATCACCTAGTCGCTGGGTGCTGCGCTGCGGAAATGCTGTGGACGCTGCCGCCAAAGTCATAACGCGAGCCTGGGCATTTGATTTGGAGGTCGTCTTTGCCTTTGCTTGACGTTCCCTGGGAACCAGGCTCTGATCCAGCGTTCACCAAAAAATCGCGTGACGTGTCCAGCCCACCTCGTCTTCAATTCTGTAAAAATATGGCATGCACCCCTGGTTTCCGACTGCTGACGGAGTCAGCACAGTCTTGTTTGCTACGGACATGGTGCATGGCATTCGACGAGCGGTTAGCATCAATCGTTTTCCGTCAAATGTGTCGTATCTTCACTTCAGCAACTGGTGGAGAACGTACTTTCGGCGCGCCCAATCCAGACTCACTAATATGCCCATCGTCCGCATCAAACAGAACTCTGAGGCTGTATTCATACTTTGCATCAGCGCCCATCAGCGAGCACCAGCATCAGCCATTAGGAAAGTGCAGATATCGACCTAGCAAATGGCAGCGTCTATTAGCGTCCACCAGCTTTCACCACTGCCCACCAGCGTCCGCCAGTGACATTACCGTCTCGAGGGAAAACATGTGTCATGAGCGTCCATCATAGACCAGCGCCTACCAAGGACCAGAATTGCGGTATTGTGTAGAAGTGCTGTGCAACTGCACATGCCACAATTCGACGCCTAATCCAGCCTCTCCATCGCCGGCTTCCTCATACTCTATCAGCAGTCTGCTACCCCTCCTACTTCCTCATACTCTGGACTCCTAGTCGCAGGTGAATGTTGGTAGAGGATGGGCCGATATTTATCTTTCTAAGTCCCTCGAGACGCTGATGGTCGCTAGCGGACGCTGGTGGACGCTGGCAGACGCTAGATCGATATCTATACTTTCCTAGTCGCTGACGCTGACCGGACGCTCGAAACGCTGTGGTCGCTGGTGGTCGCTGGTGGACGCTGCCGCAAAGTATGAACTTAGATAGCTCAGCATCCTTTTCTGCACTTCCGTGTAGCGTGAAACTGAAACTATTGTCCTCTCACCAGCGCGTTGTATACCTCTTACAGGATGTTCATTCTGCCTGCACAGGGTCTAGGTCTCTGAGGCGCATGCTAAGGCAGGAATCTCTGCAGAATTGATTCGGTGGCAAGGTGTTTTGTTTTCTACTATTTGTTGCTCCCACGATGTTCTTGAATGCTCTCCATGCTGCTCGTTTTCTCCTGTTTAGCTCGGCAGCCAAACCATTCATCGGTTCATTTGTCCGCAACCTTGCTGTTAAAACTAGATCATAGAGCTATTAGTGTTCTAGAGGAAGAAATGGCACCCAAGGACGTAATCCATTTTTCAGAAACATGCGCTCCGCGAGCCATTTTTTTGTTATTTTTTTTTGTGTGCTGCTCGATTGTCGTCAGGCGAAGCGGAGGCCGGTGTACTTGCCAATCGGCGTCAACCTTGGTCTAAGTCTGAGCCTGGACTCGAGCCCGAAATGCTGTCTTTTTGCTCAACATCTATGCAGATTTTATTGAATTGCTTCGCAGCGAAAGGGGCATTATAAGCCACAGAACCACACCAATATGTAACAAATACATGGAGTACGAGTTTCGGTTTCGAGCTTGTGTGAGGTAAATCGTTTTGCCTATATATTAGGGTCTTGTTCGCTGAGGACGCTGTGTGTTTCAGGGGGGGGGGGCTTAGGTTGGCGCTCATGCAACGCCTGATTCTCCACCAATTGTGGACGCCAGGTGAAGAGACCTTAATTGTGGAAAATGGCTGATGGCTGTGCAACATCAGCTCGCAGCGAGCGCAGAAAGCAATTATGTAGGATCTTTTTTTTTAAATTTTGTTGCGATCACAGCTTTTCAATTGAGGGCGGTCACATCACTGAGCCATCTAATATGAAATTGCCGAAATGCATATTCGCCGTAGGCTGAGGTGGTAGATAGTGGCAAAAGCACCTTGACCAAGGCCACACGCTGAGGACAAATGGCTGGCAGGGCTACGCCCAGGCCAAAGCAATTCTTCTAGCGTCCAGGGTCGGTAAATGGTAACTGTGGTGTTCTCTGTAGTAAAAAAAAACACTGAATTTGTACATCGTTTGGTCCCCGCAAGTCGCTTCATATGCACATCGTGCTAATGAGCCACTATGAATGAACTAGAAATAGTCACTCTATTTCTGAATAGAACGCGTGAGGCCCTAGCAAAACTACACAGGCGATATAATAAAACGTCAAATTTTCCTTTCAAATTTGCAGCAGGCGCTCTTCGGCGGGAGGGGGGGCAGTTTGCGAGTTTGAGCTACTTCCCCTTCAACGTGTCGAGCCAGAGAGCTATTTCATGAGTCCACAAGAGTTGACAGGTTTTACCATGGTGGCTCGACGAGCTTGCTCCAGCTTCACAAGAGTTCACAGGTTTCACCAGAGTGAGACTTGTAAACCAGAACTATGTGAAGCAGCAAAAGTGCAAAATGCCCCCCCCCTTCGTCGTCGAACAGAGGTTCTTTCGTATATAACAAACCTTTTCAAACACGCTTACTTAATGAGTCTAGGTGAACTCGCTTATAAGGGCATGGCCATAGAAGCGGGTGATACACGACCATTGACTGAGAAAGAGGCTCTATCCGCAATCCTTTAACCCCCAGAGATTTGTTGCTTGCAACGAGTCCATCGAGGCTGGATGGCTTGACCAGGATAGTAGCTAAACCTTTCATTATCTGAATCGCATTTCCAAGAAACTCGAAGTATAATGTTCCTAGAATTCCCTTGCTCCCCCTGCATTTTCGTGATTGCCTGTGTATTTGTGCTCTTTGGGAAAAATCTTTGGCTCAGGGTGATCGCGAACTAGTTGCCTGTGGAGGAGGGTTCTGCTCCAAGGTACCATACTTGGAAAACTATTACAAATATGTGTGTTTTGACAAAAAGGTTGATTACATATCGCGCACTTCTAGCTGCTCCACGGAGAACGCCAAAAAGTGGAAGCACATTTGACGCCTCTGGAACCGGCGATTCCTCAGACCAGTTCTTGATCGTATGATTGTCTGAAATACTTTCTAGAGCTCCGCAACCCGGCCTATATGTCTTTCTCTAATTTTTGGTTCCAATTTCTTATGTTGTTCGCATTTGGCTTTTTTATTCTTTTTTTATTGTTCTCCAGTCGGATCGGCCGGCTTCGGGCCGGCGATCCTCCTTCCGGGTGTGAAGTGGGTCCCTGTGAGAAGTTTTCCATGAGGGGAGGGCCAGTCGGATCGGCCGGCCTTCGCCCGGATCCTCTCCTTCACCGCCCGCCTCGCTGAAGTGGGTCCCTGTGTGAAGTTTTCCATGAGGGGAGGGCCAGTCGGATCGGCTTCGCCGGGCGAATGGTCGAAAAAAATTGTTTTGAGAATTACAGCACTTTACCGTTTCACTTCTTGTATATACCCCCCCCCCTAGAGCAGTCATCAAAATTTTCT